TGTTGAGAGTAAGAGCGATACGTGTTTCACGTCAAAAAGTCGTCATAAATAAGTCTCCAATAACACCAGAAAAAGTCGCCAGATTTGTCGCTAGTCGCTTTTTAGAAAAAAGTTGCTAAGGGGGTCTGAAAACTCGCTAAATATAGCGACAAAGTCGCTAAGTTGGCAACACTGGTTACAGATGAGCTTCCCAATCCTCTGAGCAGATATTAGCAGATATCTGTATTTTTGTGATGCATCAATAAAGTTTTTGAAAGCAGCTTGCTAACTGAGCTTGCCAATAAATATGTTCACACACATAAATGTTCACCACAATACTGAAGTGCCACTTGAGTCAGTGTCACTGACTCACGGGCGCCCTCTGCTGCCCCAAAGCCAATTTGCACTTAATTTCTATTGAAAGGGAAGAACAGAAAGTAGAACAGTTCCCTGCATTGATTTTGGTCAAAGTTTTAAAGAGTCTAGAAACCTGTGAGTGATGTCACTGTGGCTGCCATCTTTGATATACAGTCAGTGCTTTTTGAGTGAGCGGCATGTCCTCGCTGATATTTGTTTAGTACTGAGAACGTCATTCTGAAATAATCACACAAGACTCATATCTGTAGAGTTTCCTCAGTACAGGACACATTTCTGTTTAAGCTCCATTTAGATTTATAATTATGTTTGTTCTAAGCCTGCAAACAATTAGAAATGTTCAACAAACATAAAAAGTTTTTAACAGTGACTATGAAAGCAATAAAATGTCAGCAGGGGGACCCACTGGCATCTGTTTCTCAGTTTTGTAAATAAATGACACGTGTCCGAAAATAATACTTTAATTCCTGATCTCAGGATGTTTTTTTTCTTTTAGAAAGTTTATATCATCATCATCTCCGTGAGAGAAAACTGTAGCTGTACATGTTTGTCTGTTCTTCGTCTCTCTCCTTACTGTTACTTCCCTCGGTTTCTTATTTCGTCTGTGTCGCTGTCTCTCTTTCACTCAGTAAACTGCTGTGATTTTAAGTGACTCACTGTCTAATGGTGACCACTGGCGTCTTTTTCTCAAAGGACTTGACGTTTTGCCGAAACGATTAAGTTAATTCACAGCCAATCGAGGGGAGTCTAAAGAGCTGTTTGTCTTGGCGTTGACGTGAGGTGAAGGGTGGTGCAGTGAACGATGATGGGGACAGATGTTTGAAAGAGCAGAACTTTGGGGGGAAACGCTGCTAATTTTGATCTGCAAACAGCAAACAATGTATTTGTGAATCATCACGTGTGTTTTATTTGTTATGTCAATAGTAAACTTTCAATAAATGGATCCAGTTGTTTCATGGTTTTCATGGTTTTAAGTGAAATAGACAACATCCAAGAACGCTGAGGTGATTGTTGCTGTGATTTTGTGCTTTATCAATAAACTTGAACTGAACTGAACCTTATTATTTTTTAATTCAGGGGTTTTTAGCCCACGTGCTAATGGTGTATAAAATCATGTACCTATCTGTGCCTTTACAGACATTTGTGAAAGGCTTGTTCTAAAGAGCTCACTGAAACATGCTCCATGGTGTCAAACATGGCTCCACGATCCTCCCAGGTCTTCCATGACCGCCTGTAAGTTGTGTTGTTAAGTGAAAGTGTTTACAAACCACAGGAACTCAACCATGAAGTGTGAGAGCATGTAAAGTTTCAGAGCGGGGTCACAGAGTGCGTAAAAGGCCCCACGTTTGTGGCCAAGCAGCTCCTGTAGGTGGGATGACCCAGAACTTTTGTCCATGTAATGCATGCAGTGTTTCTATTTTCTCAAAAATATCTTAGTATCTCAACTTTATGGAGTATTTCTAATACATAATCTCGTTTATTTCATTTGTTTGTTTTAAACTGCTGACAAACAGAAAAGCTTCTACCTCCAGTGAGCATCATGGCACATTTGCAGTGTTCGCAGTTGTCGTTGTCTTTGTCTCGGGTGCTGAAGCCGGAGCCGTGGGTGGTCAGGCTGCTCTGCTTCCCTGCTGTGCCACTGTAACCTCTCAGATACAACCTGAGGGAGAGGAGACACACAGGAGGACAAGATCTGATGAAACAAACACTGACTGAATCTTTTCTTGTAGACAGGATGTATTTACAGTACATCTATGAGGCAGTGAATCCAATGGATCACCTTCTGTTTACTCTGTTTTTGGCAGGACCAAGTGTGTTGGTCCTTTATGGACTTCACTGAATCCTGACCACACGTGGGTCCGGCTTTATGGAATTAATGGAATCCCATAAGGTGTTTTTATAAAGCTGTGTGAAAATCTTACTGTTGCTCAACACAATCACAGACGAGTGCATCCACTCACCGAAGCGTGCCAAAAACAGTTCCCCAAGCTGAGCTGCAGTGTTATCAGTTTTCATCAAATTAACAGCAATTTTCACAACTAATAAATTATAAAGTGATTTTTTCCCCACAGACACTCTGAATAATGCAGCATCTCATTTCCTCAGCTGAGATCAACAATTTCAGGACATCATTTTTGGGGTTTATGAATCTGTGGTCGAACCATGTCGTCAACAATTTAATTATAATTAATAGCAGGAAAATAAATCGCAGAGTTACAACACAGCAGCGTTTCCAAAACAATCAATACTAGTCTGTTCAAGTTTGAATATTATACACGCCTTCAGATGTAATCAGCAGCTTTTTATTTTCATTATTATAGTAAAAATAAACTCTAAAAACATTAAAGTAAAACACTGTGTGTGTGTGTTTGTACTGCGGGTGTACCTGTACTGCTGTCGCTCACTGGTCAGTGTAAATCGGTCATAGTGGGAGTGGGCGGAGTTTCCCTCCCAGTCCATCATCTCCACCCTCATAGAGTAGACACCTTGATTGGTCA